CAGTGGTCATATAGTGCATTTGGTATAGAGCTATTCAATCAGGAAGGATATTTTTCCCCTGCAGGAAAAAAGTTTCCATGCTTTGCTGGGGTTTTTTTATGCCTTCTTCTGGATCAACTGTGGGTTCAGGATTATAATTTGGTTTTTTAATGGTTGAACTGGATGGACTTTCGTCTTTTTTCAGCCAAACTAACTATGTAACTATATATTTATATTGCTAGCATTGTGATCTAATCTTTGGTTTACTAACAGGTCAACTAGGACAGCTCTCACATTTCTGTCCTCATACATTCACTTTACGTAATATGATATATGATCACATGGTTGCAGAGAAGCCTAAAATAATGAAAAAAAAAAAACTTTCTAAACAAAGGATCAGGGGAGGACTGAGAACTCATAGGGCCCCCTGGCAATAGGGGATCATGGGGCCACTGTGTTCTTGCCAAAACTCAAAAAAGCCTATGAAAAAGGTTACCAGGGGCATCTCATGGGGCCCCCTACTGAACCCGGGCCCTCGTGCAGTGCTCGAGTTTCCAAATTGTCAGTCCGCCCCTGCAAAGGACCAGTTTATTGTCCTTCAAATTTTAGGAGGGCCAGACTGTGACCGGTGGGAGTAGTGTCTTGGCATCAGTTGGAGTAAACAGTGTCCCATCTTTTATGTCAGAAGAAGGAATAGTGCCCCATCGTTGGTGTCAGTGGGAAGAATAGTGCCCCATCATTGGTATAAGTTAGAGGAATAGTGCCCCATCATTGGTGTCTGTGGGAGGAATATGCACCAACGTTGGTGTCAGTGAGAGGAATAGTGTCCCATTGCTGGTGTCAGTGGGAGAAATAGTGCCAAATCATTGGTGTCAGTTGGAGAAATAGTGCCCCATCGTTGGTGTCAGTGAGAGGAATAGTACTCTAATGTTGGTGTCAGTTGGAGGAATAGTACATCGGTGTCAGTGGCTGGAACTATGCTCCACTGTTGCTGACAGTGGGGGGAGTAATAGCCCAGAGGCTGAATAAAAGTAAGCAAAGGGCCACATCCAGCCCCTAGGCCACAGTTTGAAGACCACTGTCCTAGAGTAACAATGCTTTCCCCACAAAGACACAGTACAGCGAGTGAGCATTGTCACCCTATAAAAGGAAGCATGTTACTAGTGGGACCACCAGGTGAAAATTAAGTTTAAAAAAGCAGAAAAAAAGCATCCACCACATCTAAAGACTGTAAGCTGCAATATATTATACATTTGTACTTGGGTTTGGATACCCTTAAAGTATATTTCCACCTTTGCAGCCAAATTGAGATAACTCCTACTTTATACTTGTTACATGTTCACATAGAATAAAAAAAAAAATAGCTTCCCCCTTCTATGTAATGTTCCAGACGGGGGAGCTGGAGAGGTATACTTAGCATAATTAACACTGTGTCATGCTGGCAATACTTCATTATCAGTTGCAAACTAGATGTTCACACAAAGGGTTAACCTCTTGCCACCCATGTAACACATGTGTGCCGTGGTAAAAGAGGGTGGGTTTTAATGCCCACACAGCATGTATATAGCCTATGGGCAGCCAAGGTTTTTGTGCTAGGAGCACGCTCCCTGAGGGCTTCCAGCACAGTGACTGAGATGTCATAGACAAATCATGGTTTCTAGTAAGGATCAAATGCTGGCTCCCGATCATATGACCACTGAGACAGCCAATCACAGTGGTCATATGATCAGGGTGTCCTTCCTTCCCCCCAGGCATAAAGACCCTGTTAAAGGGATGCCAATGGAAGTAGATCTCAAGACTTGGGAGAGCATTGTACATCAAGAGGGCAACACAGCGGCTAAATGGTTGGCAGTACTAGGATCGTTGGCACCACCTCCCTGGAGTTTGCATGTTCTCCCTGTGCCTGCGTTGGTTTCCTCCAGGTACACCGGTTTCCTCCTACACTCCACAGCGACGCTGGTAGGTTAATTGGTAAGTTAGGGACCAGGGGTGGACTGACAACTCATGGGGACCCTGGGCAATAGGGGATTATGGGGCCCCTGTGTCCTTGCACAAACTCAAAAAAGCCTATGAAAAAGGAACCATGGGCATCTCATGGGGCCCTCTACTGACCCCGGGCCCTCGGGCAGTGCCCGAGTTTTCAAATGGTCAGTTCGCCCCTGTTAGGGACCTTAGATTACATGCTCTTTGAGGGTTAGGGACTGATGTGAATGTACAATATATATATGTAAAGCGCTGCGTAAAATTGACAGACCTATATAAGTACCCGTAATAAATAAGTCAAGGAACTTTAAAAAAAAAAAACTGTCCCCCAATTGCACATTGAAAACTATCCTGAGAAATACACATTGCTTAACACCCGGCAATCTCCGTGATCGCTGTGTCCTACAGATACAGCTGATCACGTGATGTGGTAAAAGGCCAATCACAGCGGCCTTTTACCACGTGATCAGCCATGTCCAATGACATGCTGATCACAGGGAAATGCCATTGCCGGTTCTCGGCTGCACTTTCGTCACGCAGTCAGATCGTAAGGAAAGTACTGCCGAGAACCGGCAGTTGTTAGAGCAGGGATCGGCACCGATCATCAGGGCACTGATGATCAGTGACCTGATGATCGGTGCCCAGCAGTGCCACCCGCAAGTTCCGCCCACCTGTGCCCAGCAGTGTCCCCACCTGTGCCACCCAGCAGTGTCACCCACCTGTGCCCAGTGCCACCCACCAGTGCCCACCCACCAGTGCCACCCACCTGTGCCCAGCAGTGCTGCCAGTCAGTGCCACCAGTTAGTGCCCAGCAATTGTGCCAGTCAGTGCCGCCAGTCAGTGCCCAGTAGTGATGCCAGTCAGTGCCACCTATCAGTGCTGTCTATCAGTACCCATCATCAGTGTCACCTATCAGTGCCGCATATCAGTGCCGCATATCCGTGCCACCTCATTAGTGCTGCCTAGCAGTGCCGCCTATCCGTGCCACCTCATTAGTGCTGCCTATCAGTGCCATCTATCAGTGTCCTTCAGTGCTGCCTATCAGTGCCCATCAGTGCCACCTATTAGTGCCCATCAGTGCTGCCTCATCAACGCACATCAGTGAAGGAGAAAAATTACCTGTTTGAAATAATAGAAATAATAGAAACAAAAAAACTTTTTTTTTTTTCAAATTATTTGCAAATTTTTTTGTTTATAGCGCAAAAAGTAAAGCACCCAGCAGCGATTAAATACCACCAAAAGAAAGCTCTATTTGTGAGAAAAAAATGATAAAAATTTCATGTGGGTACAATCCTGCATGACCGCGTAATTGTCATTCAAAATGCGACAGCGCTGAAAGCTGAAAATTGGCCTGGTAAAGAAGGGGGTATAAGTGCCCGGTAGGCAAGTGGTTAAAGAATCCTATGAATAATCCTGCTCCAAAAAAAAAAAAACAACTAGAAAGTTAAGAAATATTCTTTAAAAAGTTATTTTCAGGTTTGCTATGTGAATGGGAATGCATAAAAAACATATGATGGGGATTTCACAAAATTGACTGCAAAGGTGGTAATGCACTTTAGGCTCCTTGAGTTGAGTAGTGGCCTTTTAAACCTGTTTTTTTGCACAAAGCCCCTTTAATTGGATACTAAAGGATTGGAACTCTTGGGTTATAGAGTCATGATCCCAGTTCCACCCTCATCAGGGCACCTTCTACATAGGGTTGAAGGTTCTCCTTGAGTTTGATGGTTTTCCTAAGAATACTGGAGTTACTACATTATTCCCATGATACAGAATTAACATATTTGGTTCATAAACAGATTGGTAGGAGTGTGTGTGACTGCGGAAGACTTAGACTGGGAGCTTCTTTGAAGACAGCAGTGATGTCAATGGTTCTACGCACTTTACTGTGCACTATATAAGTCCGACTGATACATAAATCATCACAACTGTTCTGTTGCTTTTAAGGAGCGACGTGCTACCCCTGGGAAGGAGAAGACCAGGACACCGATATGAACCTTGTAGTAGCCTGTCTAGTATTCTTCCTCTCTACAACACAGTTACTGGCGGAGGAGATGGAGTGGACCGAAGGCAGTTTATGGCCAGAAAGTGAATTAAATCAGGTAAGGCTGCTGGAATACTTCTATGGACATCTGAATGTAAGGGTTCAAGCACTGATCTAGGACTGACCAACCATTCTTTTGCTGATCAGAGTTGTTTAACTTTAATTTTAAAGTTGTACTCCAGGCAGGTATAATAGATAGAAATGAATGTATTTTCTATAGCTAAGCAGTGTTGTTAGTACCTAAATTTGACATGGTATTATCATCTGTACAGCAGAGCTCAGATTGGGCAGGGAGAAGAAGCATAAGGCATCAATCAGCTGTACTTCAGTTCTCTAGTGCTAGTAAGAAGCATGTCGATAGTAGGAGAGAGCAGAGTGACAGAGAGATGAGCTCATCAGTCTGCTGCTTCTCTTTTCACTGTACAGTCACAGGCTAGGGAGAGGGACAAAATCTGAAAGGCTCCATTCACACCTGAGTATTTGCGATTGCAAGCAGAATCTCCGCAATTTTTCCCATGATCCCAAAACGCTCTTCAAAACTGACAAATCACACTATGCTTGCTCAGATACCCTTCATTTTTTAAATAACTAAACTTAATTTTTATTAAATTCATAATAATATAATAAATAAATATTAAGTATATTATATGAATTATATTATATTAATAATAATATTACTTGTTTAATACATTTTCATAAATTAATTTTTAATAAACTAAACGCGAGTGATGTTCTGTCGCAATTGTCACATGATAAATTGCGCTGCAATCAAGGCAAACCGCATCGAGTGAAGCTTGTCCCTCAAAAAGGAGCAGCGGCTTCTGCTGGGTGACAAGGTTCGTGCGACAATCATGACAGAACTGCCCTCGTGTTTAGGTCCTATTAAAAATTAATGACACCTGAACAAGAGTGCTGCAATTTGTTGGTTTTGCTGAGCATTTTGGGATCGCAGGCAGAATCGCAAACGCCCAGGTGTGAACGGGGATTAAGTGTTACTGAACTGCAGCAGACAAAAATCAGGTCCTCTGCCCTACCAGATACAGTTGTACCATACGGCAGTGCGATGTAAATCTCAGAACTGGAGGGACAGAAATACAAATCATTTGGCAGGTAAAACAGAACCAGTAAATGTATTTCCATGTATTTTGCTTTTTGCCTGAAATTACACCCGACCATTTTAGGTGTAGTGTGTTGAAAAAAAAATGCATGTTGCATCTTTGATGTGCTTTCATCAAAACGCAAGTTCTATAGAGTTCAGTGGTGGTTTGCCTAGAATGCACTTCACATATGTGAACCGGCCCTTACTCCTGCAAGCTGTAAGATCATGAAAGCCTCAGTTCACCATTGCAATGTTGTATTTGTGATCTTTACCCTCACAGTTATGTTTAGTTACCTTTTATTCCACTATTTCTAACCCAGAGAAGTCCTTCTGGCACCAACCACATTCCCAAAAGAGACAATATTAATCAATTTAGTAAATCCATCATAATGCATCTGGAATTGATCAAAGTCCCCGGAGACAGTATGCTGGGTAACAGGCTTATGGACACCACTTAAACCTCCTTAACAAAACTGGACTAACTCCTGTTTGATTGGAGTCATCTCTTGTTACATGGAGTCAGGGGCGGACTGACCATTTGGAAACTTGGGCACTGCCCGATGGCCCGGGGTCAGTAGGGGCCCCTGGTACCTTTTTCATAGGCTTTTTTTAGTTTGGGCAAGGACACAGGGGCCCCATGATCCCCTACTGCCTGGGGGCCCCATGAGTTGTCAGCCCGCCCCTGCATGGAGGCCATATTCTGTGTTAGCTCCCATATAGCTGTCTGCTGAGCAGACAAAGGGGAAGGGACCACTGCCTTCTCTTCTCTAAGGCACACCAGCTACAGTGGTTTCCATGCCCTCTTGTTCCCGGGCCACCGCTTCCACCACCACATCATTGAAGGTGAGGAGAGGTTGGGACTTCACCCATTTTTGCAGGGATTCTCTCACAGGGCCAGTGCTTACCCCTCCAGTGAATTGGTCTTATAATAGCTTGTCAAGATATCACCACACTCCTGAAGGTCCTTTTTTGCCAGTTGTTTCCGTAATTTCTGCAGGGCTACTGCTAAGTCAGGGGTAGGTAACCCTCTCTAGCTGTTGTGGAACTACATTTCCCATGAGGCATTGCAACATTACAAAACTGGCAGTTACAGCTATGACTTGCAGAGGCATGATGGAACTTGTAGTCCTGCAACAGCTGGAGAGCCGCAGGTTGCCTACCCCTGTGCGAAGTGAAATAATCAACCAAAACCTGCGCCAAATTTAAATCACCAACCAATGCTGCTGCTCCTTGTTGACCAATAATCAAACAGAAATGTGTAAAAAAAAAAGCGCAAAAAACTTAATATTAATATAAATAAATAAACATAAATAATAATAGTGTCTAAATCTAAACAGAGCACAAAAACTTAATATAAATAAATAGACATAAATAATAATAGTGTCTAAATCTTAACACAGCACAAAAACTTAATATAAATATAAATAAATAAAATAAACATAAATAATAATAGTGTCTAAATCTAAACACAGCACAAAAACTTAATATAAATATAAATAAATAAACATAAATAATAATAGTGTCTAAATCTAAACACAGCACAAAAACTTAATATAAATATAAATAAATAAACATAAATAATAATAGTGTCTAAATCTAAACAGAGCACAACAACTTAATATAAATATAAAATAAATAAACATAAATAATAATAGTGTCTAAATCTAAACACAGCACAAAAACTTAATATAAATATAAAAAAATAAACATAAATAATAATAGTGTCTAAATTTAAACACAGCACAAAAACTTAATATAAATATAAAAAAAATAAAAATATATAAATATAAAATAATATTAGTGTCCAAATCAAAACAATAAAGAAAGTCCCAATCCAAACAATTTTAAAATGTTCCACATTCAATGTGCTCCAAAAGCAATAGTGATGGATCTTGTGCAAAGGAAACTTCAGTGTATTGACACCCTCTGTGACAACCAATATATATTGCACTCAACAAATATAATGGACTCTCAAAAGTTTAAGAGTCAAAACCGCTTTTTGGATAATGAATATCCTGTCGATAGGGACCTCCACCATCCAGAAAGATGCTCCAATAAAAGGGTTTTCCACACAATTTGCTCAATCAACATTTGTTTTTTAGGGCAGCGTATCCACTTTTACATTTTCATAAATTCAAAAGCTGCAAGTTTCATCACTGTGGTGTAATCATACTGGGGAGTGTGGGCAGTCATAGGTCCATCTGTGCTGTCAACAGACAGGGCCAGTTCGTTATCACATTTACTTTGCATAAGAAGAAACTTGCAGCTTTTGTATTTATGAAAATGTAAAAGTGGATACTCTGCCCAAAAAAAATATTGAATGAGCAAATTGTGTGGAAAATCCTTTTATTGGAGCATCTTTCTGAATGGTGGAGGTCCCTATTGACAGGATATTCATTATCCAAAAAATGTTTTTGACTCTTAAACTTTTGAGAGTCCATTACATTTGGTGAGTGCAATATATATTGGTTGTCACCAGTGGCGGACTGACAACTCATGGGGCCCCCGGGCAATAGGGGATCATGGGGCCCCTGTCTCCTTGCCCAAACTCAAAAAAGCCTATGAAAAAGGTACCAGGGGCATCTCATGGGGCCCCCTACTGACCCCGGGCCCTCGGGCAGTGCCCGAGTTTCCAAATGGTCAGTCCGCCCCTGGTTGTCACAGAGGGTGTCAATACACTGAAGTTTCCTTTGCACGAGATCCATCACTATTTCTTTTGGAGCACATTGAACGTGGAACATTTTAAAAATTTTTGGGTTGGGACTTTCTTTATTGTTTTGATTTGGACACTAATATTATTTTATATATTTTTATTATATCTATATTAAGTTTTTGTGCTGTGTTTAGATTTAGACACTATTATTATTTCTGTTTATTTATTTACATTTATATTAAATTTTTTGCACTTTCTTTTCTTTTTTACTACTGCTAAGTGAATAAAGGTCTCACCTTCTTGCTATCTATGAACGAAGAATCGGAGTCTCAGCTCAGTAAGAGTAACCTTCTCCCCAAATAGGCCTTCCAGCCATGCCTGTATTGGCTCCAAGCTATTGCATTCCTCCTCCAGCAGTTCCATGATAACTTGGTGGGGATCATCCTTCAGGGAATTAATAGCTAACTCTGCAATCAGCTTGATGGACACCTGTTATGGGCATTCTGCATCTTCCAGTCTCTCTTCTAACTTCATCAGAAAGACATTAGAGCCATTGAACTTTGAGATTAGCACTAAAGCTGTTCCTAAGGGTGAAATACTGGTCCCCAGACCCCCTGTCCATGCCAGCCAAAGTATGAGGCATATCCTGCCAGCCAGGGGCAGACTGACAACTCATTGGGGCCCCCAGGCAATAGGGGATCATGGGGCCCCTGTGTCCTTGCCCAAACTAAAAAAACCTATGAAAAAGGTACCAGGAGCATCTCATGGGGCCCCCTACTGACCCCGGGCCCCTGGGCAGTGCCCGAGTTTCCAAATGGTCAGTCCCTGCTGCCAGCTAGACTGAGTTGCGGGCAGGGCCAGTTGATTAGTACCCAAGATGGAGTAAAGGCATACATAGACCAAGTAAGGTGGCACCAATATTATTTGGTTAATTAGAAGTAATAAATGATACTTGGAGGGCAGCGGCAAGGTGGTTACTTAACAGTCCCAAAACAATTTGGAATCAGTATTGATAACACAGGCAACTCGGGTACAACAGTTCTCAGTAACATTGCTGTACTGTAACCTCCCTGGCGGTATTCCTGAGTGTAGCTCGGGGTAAAGTTTCAGTATCACAAGCGGTAACCCCGAGCTACACTCGGACTTACCATGCGGTGCTGCTCTGGGATCTGTTCTTCTCTTACCTTGTCCTGCGCTCCCGCAATGTCCCCCCCTGCAGTGTCCCCTGTAATGTCCTCCGGCCGATGCCGGCATCTGTCATCTGGGTTCCGTCCCCTGTGAGCGTCAGGACGTATGGGGGAAGGAACTGGTGGGAAATTTGAAAATGACAAAAAGTGACATTCACTAATACACTAAAATCACATGGCGTCCAAAAAGCATCCCTTTAGGTCAAAAGCGGTTTTAGACCGGCTAGAGAACAGCGATAATAAATCAGAACCACTTGCAGAATTGAGTGATAATGATTCGTGGGGGAAATTCGTCATCAGACACTGAAAATGATTTTGCGACTTTGCTCAGTGATGTGCGAACTTGGCGCTCTATTTCACATTTCAGTGTTTTTGGTTTGATTATAATATTGAATTAAATGTATTATATTATTATTATTTTTTATGATTATTTATTAAATTATAATTTATGATTTCATGTTTCAAATTTTAACATACCCGGGATGTTTACTAGACTCTTGTTTGGACAGATTTCAGTGAGTTATTCCTAAAAATTACAGGCCTACAATAAAAAAAATACATATTTCCATGCAAAAAAATGTACAGCTTTGAGCACAGAAATATGGACATAATCAGACCGCTAGGGAGGGTAACCCAGTCGCAGCACTTGAAGTGTCACATAAATAATGCTTACAGTACTGGAGCAGCATCTGAGTGAAGGAGGTATCTGATAGGCAGAGCACTGGTGTAGGCACACTTAGCAGACCCATAGCAAGATCTTTCAGCTCTAGAGTCCCCAGGTAGCAGTATCCCTGTTCTGTCTTTCCTCAACAGGAACCTCTCCCTACCACTAAATATACTGTCTCTGACCAGTGGGAATCCTGTCCCTACTCTATCCACATTGATAATGCGTGCCAATTGCAGTGGGACAGTGCTATATATTAGCATTGCCCTCACTAAAGATGGCCATGGAGGTCATCCAGTTTCCAGTTGGACATCTGCTTCCATATGACACCTACAGGGCTGCAGAGGAACAAAGCTCCTCTTGTCCACCATGCCCTCTGTTCAGCAGCCAGTAAAGCAGCACCACCTACAGAAGGGAGGATAAACTGCACCTGCTCACGTGGGGCAATCTCCTGGGATTGTCTGTTGTTGGGATTAACTGTCAGAAGTGACTCATGCAGATAGCAGAGGAAGCAGCAAGCAGACAGAAATCACACTATGTCCTCTGGACTGAGGCAAACACACATTGTAGAAGAATATGCTTTGTTCATTTTTCATTTCATACGTTTACAACCACTTGAACCCCTAAAAGCCTTCACTATAGGACCCAGCATGGCCCTCTTAACTTGAATGGGGTTGGAGTGGGCACCCTGAAGAATGGAAAAGGCTTTTTGATTCTTGCTGCGGCCATGAAGCAAAGCATCTCAGCTTGGATATGTTTACACCCCATCCACTGCCTGTGTCGCTTAATGGGGAGCAGTTGGGAGGACAAGAAAAGACTAGAAAAAAAGCCTCAACCATGTGTTTTTACCCCCCAAGCACAAGTAAAAACGAGCTGAGCCCTCAGACAATTTGATGCCATTGAAAGACAAAGAAAGAAAAGCAATACGACGATGATAATGAAGTCTTGATTACCATGAAGAACGGATTGAAGAGGATGCAATTGACAGGAATTATCAGGAGACCGGGATGAGTAGGAGAGGCTGGATGAGGAATCCATTAAGTCTAAATGATGCTAATGTTTATTTCATCTCACAGTGCTCTCTGCCTAAGCAGAATTTACTTGAATTAAACCCATTCTGTTATGCGCTGTGAATTATCACAATAGAAGAAAGGAATTTAAAGAAACCTTTCATTTCCCCCGTGACATCCAAGGTTGAGCGGTTCTCAGAAAAAGCTGCGAGACCTACGGAAATGCTTTGTGATCGCAGCCATCCCTCCCGCGCACGTGTTGACAAATTAGAATTCATTTTCATTAACATGATGGACCAAATTGCTGGAAATCTTTGAGTGTTTGTTTTACAGGGTTCCTGCCAGTCTGAACAAATGTGAATGTGTGACTTTTAGACAAGCAAAAAATGATATTTGCTAATGTCAATAAATAGCTAATGTTGAAGCCCAACTCCAGGCACAACAAAAAAAAAATACTCCCCCCCCAACCTTCAAGGATTAAATGCTCACTAGGGTTATATTCTTGCTAGAATACCAAATTTAACATTCCCTAACATTTCATCCTAAAAGAACAAAAGACCTAAGAACTAGGGTTACACCAATTCTGATACTGTTGTCGTTGCGGACACCAAGGACTTGCACCAGTACCCATGCAAATGCTCCCAATATCCGTGTGAGTATATGGTGGAAGTGATGTCAGCTTGGGGGCTTACTGCCATTACATCTCCTCCGGCCCTGTGAGCACCGCAAGGAACTGTGGTTTTGGGTTTGACATGCAAGATATATTATATACTTTTAACATGTGAGTTATAACCTTAACCCCTTGGCGCCGGTGCCTCCTGGCCCTTTAAGGGTTTCAGAAGCCGGGAGGTGGGGCGGGGTTTTAGGGTCATGTGACTGCCGTGATTTGCTGTCACGGCGGTCACATGATCAGGAAAGGTCCCCATCGCAAGAGGAGATCTGGACCTTTCCGTGAGTACCGGACATGTGTGCTGGCAGAGAGCGCAGGGCACGCACTCTCAGCCAGGGGCAGACTGACCATTTGAGCACTTGGGCTCTGCCCGAGGGCCCGGGGTCAGTAGGGGGCCCCATGAAATGCCCCTGGTACCTTTTATAGGCTTTTTTGGGTGTGGTTTTAGGGTCATGTGACCGCCATGATTCGCTGGGTCACATGATCAGGAAAGGTCTCGATCGCAAGAGGAGATCTGGACCTTTCCATGAGTACCAGACATGTGTGCTGGCAGAGCGCAGGGCACGCACTCTCAGCCAGGGGGTGGACTGACCATTTTAGCACTCGGGCACTGTGTGAGGGCCCAGGGTCAGTAGGGGGCCCCATGAAATGCCCCTGGTACCTTTTATAGGCTTTTTTGGGTGTGCTTTGAGTATGGGCAAGGACACAGGAGCCCCACGATCCCCTATTGCCTGGTGGCCCCATGAGCTGTCAGTCCGTCCCTGCTCTCAGCACTAATGCTTTTCTTAATTGCGTGCAGATGTGTGGCCGCTCGGCGTCAAGGCCCAGACACTGGGAGGCCGCAAAAGGTTAATAAACTGTTTGCTAGTTCCTTCACTTCTTAGATTCTCTGTCTTTCTATACTGGGATCACAATGGAGCAGTGGGGGGAAACGCATGCGATTTGGACAGGAATTGCACTGCATTCCTGTTGAAATGGTATGAGATTCTTTGCAGTGTGACTTGATCCCATTCATTTTCTATGGGCTGAAATCACACAGTAAAGGTATTGGTACTCAATATAAGCGAGTATTTGACCTTAAAGTGTTGGTACTCGTACTCCCTGATATCAGTGTGACCCTACTAGAGAACATTTGATCATGGGAGTCAATATTTACCAAGAGAGAAAATAGTCTAAAACTATAGGTGCGAAGAAGGATCACGAATGCTCCGAAACACATGCCATGCCCACTGCTAAGTACCTGATGTGCTGACATCACGCCCGACGCCCACATATCCTCTGGAACATCCAAGACATGCTGGAAGCCACCAGAATCTCAGAGGATCCTTCTACCAGTGTGTCTCCCAGCGTGCAGCGGCCCTGGTCGGAGGTACCTACAGTAGATAGTGGCTTTCTTTGATGAGCGTCTCTTTTTACTGCTTATTTTGTAAGTGTGCAATTTGTTGCTTGTCACAAATAAACCCATTGTGCTACACTCAGACCGGTGCTGCTTCTCTCCTTTTGCTCTTTATTAAAATCTTTTTTAGGGAGTGGGTTCCTATTTCTGGCAAATACATGCTCCCACCCACTATACTCACCTGTCCCATGCAACAATGTAGCCATTTAGAAAGCACAGTGTGTCTCGCGCAAGCGCAGTGGGAACCTGGCTGTGAAGCATCGGGGAGCCATAGATGGCTTCCCACAGTCAAGATGGCAGCTCCAGGGACTGAAAGACCAGTGAAGAACCAGACCCAGTGAAGACAATGGGCTGGAAAGTTAGCTGCATTATTTGTAACTGCTGGCTTTAATTTTTTTTAAAGCTGAAATTCCTCTTTGTACATAATTACTATTTTTTGCTATTTTTTTTTTGTATTATAATTTTTTTCTTTTTTTAAATTAACAAATGTGTTATGCTTACCTGCTCTGTGAAATGATTTTGCACACAACAGCCTCAATATTCCTCCTCTGGGTTCCCCTGCTGGCACTCTGGACTCCTCTTCTCCATGTGTCACCATAGAAAGCAGCCTCCTATGGTGGCAGACATGCATGCCCGAACATGAGCTGTGCTTTATGTGTGTCTATTGACACACAGTGTATCTTGACCCTGCTTCCTCATCTCTTGATTTGATTGACAGCAGCCGGAGCCAATGGTTCCTGCTGCTGTCTCCGAGTCCAGTGAGGAGGGAGAGAGAAAGCAGCAGGAGCTCAGTAGATCAGGCTCAGTTAAGTATTTAGGGGGGTTGCAGAAGCTGCACATAAAAAGTTTTTTACCTTAATGCAGAGGATGCATTAAGGTAAAAAAACCTTTACAGCCACTTTAATATTATTGTTATTATATTAAATTTGTACTTATATTGTGCCTTGCTGGAGCAATGTATGTACGTAGGCAATAGAAATAATTCTTGGCGGCGTTCATCTATAATAACAATCATCATTTCTATCATAGCTTGGACTGAATCAAACAAAGCAGTAAGTACATAAGTGTCATTGAGCATTCATAAATACAGTTTCAAGTGCAGATTGAACCCAAAAGAAAGGGATACAAATGAATGTATAGGTGCTCTGTATTCCA